AGAGAGACAGAGAGAGAGAGACAGAGAGAGAGAGAGAGAGAGAGACCAGCGAGGGGTAGTGAGCGAGACAGCTCAGTATCACGTAGAAAAATGGAGCTCGGTTGAGCACTTGTAATGTTTTCTCGTATCACGAAGGCAAATGTTGCAAAAGTTGCTTACTCATAACTTGGAAAACTCGTATTTTGGGTAGCTTGTATCTTGAAGCCCCACTGTATTTATATCAACACAATGGCATGCTAAAGTTTTTGGGGACCTGTAGTCAAATGTTGTCTGCGAACAATTACGCAAGTAGAAGATGATTTTCTTTCTTTTTTTTTTTTTTCAAACTCCTATTTTCTTGAGCTTCACTGTCGATTCCTATCGATCAAAAGTACTGTAAGTGATTTATTTGTCATTGTTGCACATGGCTAATTAAAGTCTAACTAGGGGCTACTACTTGGTATAAACTATGCAGGGTGCCCAAACATTTGCTGTGGCCCTTTCCTTTTCTGTTATTTTGAAAATGTCAAAGATGTAAATAAAACATCATATTTTTTTTTAACGTAAAGGAAGATATATATGTGTATGAGTATGTATGTATATACATATATATATATATATGTATATACATACATACTCATACACATATATATCTTCCTTTACGTTAAAAAAAAAATATGATGTTTTATTTACATCTTTGACATTTTCAAAATAACAGAAAAGGAAAGGGCCACAGCAAATGTTTGGGCACCCTGCATAGTTTATACCAAGTAGTAGCCCCTAGTTAGACTTTAATTAGCCATGTGCAACAATGACAAATAAATCACTTACAGTACTTTTGATCGATAGGAATCGACAGTGAAGCTCAAGAAAATAGGAGTTTGAAAAAAAAAAAAAAGAAAGAAAATCATCTTCTACTTGCGTAATTGTTCGCAGACAACATTTGACTACAGGTCCCCAAAAACTTTAGCATGCCATTGTGTTGATATAAATACAGTGGGGCTTCAAGATACAAGCTACCCAAAATACGAGTTTTCCAAGTTATGAGTAAGCAACTTTTGCAACATTTGCCTTCGTGATACGAGAAAACATTACAAGTGCTCAACCGAGCTCCATTTTTCTACGTGATACTGAGCTGTCTCGCTCACTACCCCTCGCTGGTCCTACCCCTCGCTGGTCTCTCTCTCTCTCTCTCTCTGAAGCTCCACTGTATACGTACATACATAGTTATGTGTACATGTAACAAAAGCTCCTTTTTCCAATATGTATCTGTATTACATATACTGTGCTATGTCTTCAGGTTGATAGTGAGTGATCAAATATTAAAAGTAATCTATTTTAAATTGCATCCTGTCCTCACAGCCTGGATCATCTATGGAACCAATAAGCAAGAGACTGAAGATTGTTGAAAAGGTAAATAGACTTTTTTTTAAATGTGCCAGTGTGGCCAGTTGTAAGAAAACACCTAACTCAATCCAACTACAACCACCACTAAAAAACACTTCAGTAATGCATTATTATTTGCAAAAGTGATTACAGAACACTTAATGTTTTTAAGTTTGAACCTCTCTCTCTCTTTCTTTAAAAAAAAAATATATATATATATATACAGTATATCTGTGTGGTTATATTTTGTTTTCTTATATTGAATTGAGTGTACCTCTTTAGAATAGCCACCCTGCCTAATGAAGTGGCAAGTGGATTTGCGTGGACACATTACCTTGATGATAACATCACTAATGGGAATGTTGTTTTTTTGATTGTGCAGGACACAGGATCTACATCTATTCAAGCGGCAGACAGCACAGCCATCAACGGCAATGTCACACCCACAGACAAGAGGTAGGCAAATAAGGTGGCGAATCTTATTATCCAATTTTCGGTTCTCATTCATTTCAATAAAATCCTCTTTTACCTTGTGTTTTGTTTTTGTTTTGTTTTTTTCAGGATAGGCTTCTTGGGTCTTGGGCTAATGGGCAGTGGGATTGTCTCAAATCTACTAAAAATGGGTCATATTGTCACAGTGTGGAATCGCACGGCAGAAAAGGTTTGTGTAATGCTATTATAATAATGTAATTCATTGATTCATTTGTGTATTTAAATAATTTATGAATGTTTGTGTACGAAATGCACGTGACTTGCAAAGTAGCATTGACTTGTAGGACTAATGTCACATTGCAGCACAAGAATGATTTGTTTTATTTTATTAACGAAATAAAATGCTGTATCATGTGAGCCAACGTCAGGGTGTACTGGTGATGCGACATGCACTCATTTACAGGTTGTCCTTTCAGTTAAACAACTTTCAAAATATAGGGATTGGTGACTGGAAAGAGGTACTAAAATAAATGGGTTCCTGTGACCGAACCTAATTTCAAATTAGGCCACACTTTGCAAGGTGCTCTTGAATAGATTCATAAGTGCAATGGAGGCATCGTGGCAAGGTTACTACTCAAGTCTAACCTAGTGTTTATTGAGGTGTTAAAGATGCACTGAACTTAAAAAAAGTTAATACTTCTCAAACACAAAACTTGTCAACTTGATATTATTTTTTCAGACCACTTATTTTTCACCAAGAAGAAGAAACAGTGAAGTACCCCACATTTCGTTTGTGTTACAGACAGGGTAAATACAACTTTATGACCAACATTAAAAAATACTAAGTGCACTTAATACAATTCAACACCTCCTTTTATTTATTTATTTATTTATTTATTTTTATGGCAAAATAAGGCATAGTATGTATATATATTTATGGCAAAATAAGGCATAGTATGTATTTATGTAGTTTTAAAGAATAAAGTCATGCAAAGTACATCCGAGATGGAAAGACACAAATGAAACAAGCGCTCTCCTTGGCTGTCCTTGGCTCTCTGGCTTTATCCCCAAAATGTTCCACCCATAATTATGGGTGGAAGGAGCAGATCAGAGGGATGATTATAATCCTCCCTCTGATCTGCTCATCCAAGCTCCAAGTAAAAATCTCTGCTTCTTATTTTTCGTCACATCCAGTTCAGCTTTTTGTCTATTCTATTCTAACCCATACATCATAGCAGGTCTCACGGCATTCTTATAAACCTTCACTTTTAACTGTGCTGCCATTTTTCTCGCACAAATAACCCCCTTACATCATCTCCATCCATTTACCCTGCCAGCACCTTCTTCTTTATCCCTTTGTGCACATTACTCTGGATTGTCTACCCTAGGTATTTGACTTGCACTCCCCTTTGCTCCAAAAGAAAAACCTCAACCTGTCAAGATTTTGTTCTACCAGCTCCCTACTCTCACAATTCATCTACAGTGGCATCTGCAAACATCATGCATTGTCATCTCTTCCCTGTTTTTTTTTATCTTTTGTCTGCAAACATCATGCATTGTCATCTCTAGCATCTTGTGCACCACTTTACAATCTCCATCTTTTTAGATGGCTCTACCTGTATAATATGTAATCCACATTTGTGCATCTTCGTCCACTCCTCTCTCTCTCTCTCTTGCTGTCTCTCTCATTCATTCTCTCTCTCTCTCTCTCTTTCTCTCTCTCTCTCTCTGTCTGTCTCTCTGTCTTTGTTTCTCATCACCTTCTGTTCCCTTTATCAACATGTCCATTCAGGTCACCAACCCCTAATCTCAGAAGCTTAATTCTTTTCTGACTGACATCCAATTTGTGTTGTTTTGGCACCGGTTGTACACCGAATGCCGTTCCTCACTAATTTATCCGGGGCTAAGTCAGGCAAGACACTAGGATGGCATAAAATATGTCCCCCTTAGTAACATTTCTAGTATTTTAAATATCAGGAGGCGTTAGTGTGGCCCTGGCCCATAAAAATCAGCCATGTAAGCGACCTGCCTGTGTGTCCATCTGCTAATTTTTGCCGCTGTGTCCCAGTGTGACCTGTTCATTCAGGAGGGAGCCAGATTGGGCCGCACCCCTGCAGAGGTGGCTTCCATGTGTGACATAACGTTTTCCTGCGTCTCTGACCCAAAGGCTGCAAGAGATGTAAGTGTTGTTTTAAATGCGCTTAATGGCTAATAACGTTTGAATCACCGTTTGACTATTTTTGTGTTTTTGTTGCCTTTCAGTTGGTGTTGGGACCCAGTGGCGTGCTGCAGGGAATTAGGCCAGGAAAGTGTTACGTAGAGATGTCTACTGTTGACCCAGAGACAGTCACAGAACTTCTGCAGGTACATACAAGACATGGAGTGGCACTGAAGATGCAAGTATAAAAATGTAACATTTTTGCTAACAATTCATTTTAAGTTGATCACATCACGGGGTGGTCGTTTCCTGGAAGCTCCAGTTTTGGGAAGCCAGCAGCTCTCCAATAATGGGATGTTGGTCATCCTAGCAGCTGGAGACAAAACAGTCTATGAGGACTGCAGCAGCTGTTTTCAGGCCATTGGCAAGACCTCATTTTTTCTGGGTATGTAGGCTTGATATTCTTTTCACTCTTCTGAGTTCATCTCAGGTAATATTCTTCACTCTCTTTCTGTATTAAAGTACGCATAAAAGTGTGAGCTGCAATGGATTCGTGCTATTTATTTTAATTCTTCCCGGTAAGATCCCGGTGAAAGAACTGCAAAAGCCAGAGGGTGGCTTTAATAAAATGTCACAATCAACATTTTGTTTAGTAGAGTCATTTTAAACAGAGGCGTCCTGTCATTTTGTGGATATAGGGTCCTACATCTCAAACTATAGCTCCTGTAACCATGGAATAGAATGTAGAAAATAAATATAATTTAAATAACAAAAAATATGAAGGCACAACATTCTTTCTCTAATAACATTTTCTTTTATTTCTTGATTATTTTTTTTTCCTTTTAAGGTGAAGCAGGTAATGCTGCAAGGATGATGCTTGTTCTCAACATGGTGCAGGGCAGCTTCATGGCCACCATCGCAGAAGGGTTAACTCTTGCCCAGGCCACTGGCCAATCACAACAGACCTTCCTGGATATCCTCTGCCAAGGACAGATGGCAAGCATCTTTGTAGACCAGAAATGCCAAAGTAAGCCTATCATCATCATTTATTAATGTTGTTAAGTTATTTATTTTGCTACTGTGTTTCATATTATATTATGTACTTTTTTAATATAAACAAGTGATGGTGCTGTAGATGAGCCTAAAATGTTTAATAACACTATTTTTTTTTCCTTCCAGATATTTTACAGTGTAACTTTAAGCCAGACTACTATCTTAAACACATTCAGAAGGATCTAAGGCTAGCAATCTCCATGGGAGACACGGCCAACCATCCA